TGCGGCGCCTCCTTGTCGCGCAGGCTCCGTTCCTCCCCACCCCCTTCTCCTCGTCTGTTCTGCCTGGTTCGAGGGTCGGCACTTTTCCCCCAGTTCCACGCATCGCCGCGCCCGATCGAGGCTGCAGTCGGCGGCCTAACGAGGCACAGCGAAGGCCCGCGTCGGTGCCGCACCCGAGCGATGGTTGCGAACGATCACCCAGACAGAGCGCGCGCTCCCGCGCGACGCATGCGAGCGACGACTGGAAGCCGACGGTCGAGCGGGATCAGGCGAGGCTCCGCGCCGACGCTGCAAACGAGCGAGGTTTGCAAGCGACTGCCCAGCAAGAGGGCACGTGCCTACGCGCGGCGCATCCGCTTGAGGATTGCGACCCAACGGCCTGGCGAGACATGGCAAGAAGGCCGAATCGACGCCGCAACCGAGCGAGGCTTGCGAGCGCTTGCCCGAACGAAGGCGCGGGCCTCAGTGCGACGCATTCTTATGAGATTGCGATCCGACGGCCGAGCGAAGCCAAGCAAGAGGGACGAATCGACGCCGCGACCGAGCGATGTGCGGGCGACTGCCGTCACGTGGGCACGTGCTTACGCGCGACGCATACGCGCGAGGATCGCGAACCGACGGCCGATCGAGGCCAGGCAAGAATGCCGAGCGGGGTGTGCGAGCGATTGCCCGCGCGAGGGCACGCGCTTACGCGCGACGCGCTTCCGTGGGCCCAGTGAGGGACGAGCACCGACGGCCGAGCCAGGCCCGACAAAAAGGCGCGACGCATTCGGGTGAGGCTGCGAACCAATGGCTGATCCAGGCCCAGCAAAGGACCGAACGAAGGTCGCGTTGTCGCAGCCGGGCGTAGGCCAGCGGTGTGTCGAGACGATGCCGTATCCATGTATGTCTGAGCTCCGACGGCGTCGCTTTCAAGGAAGGTAACGAGCTAGCGCTCGATCAAGGGTAAGTGGGGGACCAACCGCTCCCGCCTCCGAGCAGCGTCGCGTTTGCGGGGCGAGCAAAGACCTTCGAAGGCACAAACCGACCGTATCCTACGAGGAAGCCTGGGGCCTGGGGAGCTGCGCAAGTACCATCCTGTTACGTGCCGACGCCAGGCACATTAAACATTCCGGCGCCGCCCAAGTTCCGTTGCATGAATGGGCAAGCGGCGCGCCCGCGCGTCGCTTGCGCCCACCCCCCACTGCCTTCTGTCACACCGCGTGGTCGAAGCGCGAACAGCGCTGAGGCAACTCGGCAAGCGACCAGCCGGCGCGCGGCTGGCGCGCGTGCCCGGTGGTCTCGGCGCCCACCCGACGCGATGGTCGTGGCACGACCGCGCGGCGGTTGCACCGCGTGGTCGTGCCACGACCGTCGGCGTGTCACGACCGCGTCGTGCACGCGCCCGCGTGGCGGACACGGCCGCGTCGTGGACGAGGCGCCTGCGCCGCGGCGTTCGTGGCACGACTGCGCGGCGGTTGACGCGGGAGGTGCGCTCGGTGTGTGTCGCACGCGCCATGGCTTTGCGTCCTCTTCTGGTCTTCTGGCCGCGATTCTGGCCCACAACCTTGCGCTATTGCAAGGGGGGGCTCGTCGCCGCCTCGGCGCCTGGATTATTGTGACAACCGGCCACTCAAAATGCTCTACGGAAGGGATGGGATATGCTTTAACTACGACTTCAATCACCTACTTCCTGGTTTGTCTTCTAATTCGCTACAAATATGAAACATGTCTTTCCAACCTCAACGTGCTAAGCAGATCTAAACACCGAGAAGCTTTATCGCGGGGCGTGCCCGCGGCGAGCGTCGGTAGCTGCGTTGTGCCTGAAAGAGTGGCGCATTCGCTCGCGTAGCTGCGCGTGTGTGTTTGTGCGTGTGTCACTCCTTTGCAAACACGTCGACTACGGCACCGCCTGATCCCGAGGCTTTGCCTCCTCCCGGCCTCGTTCTGAGGCTGCGCCCCCCTTTTCCTCCCCCTCTCTGGTGAATTCAAGCTTCGCACGGCCCGCTTAGCTTCGACCGGAAGAGGTGCGCTCTCGACCCGCGAATCAAAAAGTGTTTGTGCGTGTGCGCGTGCGTGTGGCACCCGCCCTGTCCGTGGCTGGGCCCTGCTTCCCCAGCCCCTGCGCCACTGGTCCGCCTGCGTTCCTCGTGTCCTGCCTTGCTCTCTCGTCTTCGCTGCTTGCCCGCGCTGCGCCTCCACTTCCAGGGCAGTTTTTAATACATGGGATTTTTAAAAATATAGGATTGTTAATACATGATTCATTCATGAATAAATTTATGCATGAGCTCATCGTTGTTGTTAGTACAAATTCCCTGCATGCTTAGTACATGATCCGCACGCGAAGCATGTATTAAAAACGGCACTGTACACCCTGCCACCCTGGCTGCTGCCCACCCTCGCTGCGCATGCCCGGGCACGCGCATGGCATGGTTGATCCACTCACGGGGGACACATGCGAACCCTACCCCTACCCCCCACGATTTCCGAGGGGGGAAGTGAACCCCACCCTCCCCCTCAGAAATCGTGGGGGGTAGGGGTAGGGTTCGCATGTGGCCCCCTAAATCAGGATCCCTGCCCCTTTTCTGGGGTCCGGCCGCACTCGTTTGCAGTCTGATCGGGCGCACTGTCTCCACCTCGTCGCTACGCGCGAGGCCGCGATGGCCAAACAAGTGTGCACGTGAGTGCGCGAGCGGCGACCCAAAAGGATCCAGCTTGAGGTCCCGGGCGCGCGCTCCTGTCTGCCGTTTTCGACTTACTCCGCCTCGTCGCCGCGCGCGCGGCCGCGACCGCCGCCAAAAAGTGTGCGCATGTATGAGTGTGTATGTGTGTGTGTGTGTGCGAGTGTGTGTGTGTGAGTGTGTATGTACGTGTGTGTGCGTGTGCGTGTGCGTGTGCGCGCGAAAATGTGTGCGTGCATGTGTGCGTGAACGCGTGCGTGCGTGCGCGCGTTCGTGCGTGTGTGCATGTGTGCGCGTGTGCGTGTGTGCGTGCGCGTGTGTGTTTTTGTGTATGTGTGTGCGTGTGGGTTGTGTGTCTGCCTGTGTGTGTGGGTGTGGATGGGGGTGCGTGTGTATGCGTGCACAATTTGCGGACGGCCGAATGTCGATCCCCGCAGCCAGCCGAGCGCTTAAACAAAGGCCAGCGGCCACGGCGGCACGGGCAGTGCTGAGTCGGCGCCGGAACCAGCCCCGCGTGCCCCGCGCTGCGCGCGCTCATGTCTTCGTCGTCCTCGCCGGGCGCCTCGGCAGGCGCAGCCATCCCGGGCGCGAGCGCGAGCGAGAGGCCCGCGCGAGCGCGTCACCGGCTGCTCCGCCACCGCCACTTGAGGCCACCTCCGCCCTGGAGGCAACGGCGGGGGCACCTGGCCCCGCGGCAGCACCAGCTTCGGGGCCCCCCCCGATCGCCTCGGCCGCCGCATCCTCCAGCGCCATCGCCACCGTCTCCTCCGCGCCCCTCCTCCGCCCCGGCCCCGCGCCGAAGCTGCGCGCGGCGCCGCCGCCGCCGAGAGGGCGGGCTCAGGCGGCGCGGCCTCCGCGGGCCTCGGAGGGACCCTCGACGTCCATCCCGACGTCCGCCTCGGCCGCCGCGCCCGCGCCGCCGCCGCCTCGGAGGGGGCGCGGCGCGGGCGCGCGGGGGGCTCAGAGCGCAACAGCGCGCCGCCTCCTCCGCGCACCGCCGCTCCGCTGGGTCCAAGTGTAGCCGGGGGCGCGCCCAGCGCACCAGGTCGAGCCGAATGGTTACTGCGCGTGTGTGTGCGTGTGCGTATTCGTGCGCGTGTGCGTGTGTGTGTGTATGTGTGTGTGCGTGTATGTGTATAGGTATGTATGTATGTATGTATGTATGTATGTATGTATATATATATATATATATGTGTCGACAAGTCTTCCGACTTTGCAATCACAGATCACACAGACTCGAGCTCGAGGAAGCGCTTAACATCAAGCTAAGCGGGCACCTGAACCATGTTGTTCTGCAATTTTAAAAGGAGAGGGCGGCGGTGGGGCAGACGGTTGGCCAGGAAAAACTACAGATCGGTGTTGACGGCGTGTTTCGGTCTTTTGCATATCATTAATCAGCAAGCTTAAACAAATGAAACGCCCAGCCCATTTTCCGCCAGGAGTGCGAAGCGATGCTATCTCTGGTGTCGACAAGTCTTCCGACTTTGCAATCACAGATCACACAGACTCGAGCTCGAGGAAACGCCTAACATCAAGCTAAGCGGGCACCAACTCTTTTTTGCACAGAACAACTCTTCTTCCAAAAACGCTACTGGCTTCAGCCGCACCAAATTCTCTGTATTCGCTGAACCTTCTTTTCGGCAAGCGCGAGCTGGAAGCATCGGACGATGTTAGTGCACAAATCAGCTGGATAAGCCTCGGCCAGGAGCGTGCGAAAAACGCCGTCAGCATTTTTTCCTTGCAACTGATCATGCGGGCGGCCCGTGCGGGACCAGATCCCGCGGGGGCCTCGACAGAGGCAATGCAACGGCTGGAGGTCTACGTGATCGTATATAATGCGAGTGCGCTTTCGGCAAGACTGGCCGAACTGGCAGAAATCCAACACGACAGAACGACATTTTCTTTGCAATCTAATGAATTGAGGCGTCAGCCAAATTCTAGACATGTGAGGGTTCTCGATTGCTACCGGCACGCGCACGGCTTGGCACAGCATAAACAGCGAGGCTGAGAACTTCATCAGGGCGTTGCCGACCCTGACCTTTTCAGCGTCACGAGGCGCCAGGTCGGGCAACCCCATCACGTGCAGGTCACTCCGCAAGGGCGGGGGCCCTGGGCGGATGTCCCGTGCACGGCTCCAGCTGTGGCAAGGGGTGCCCAGCCAGATGGCAGCAATCAGCCCGTTGTTGACCCATCCTCGCACCAGGCGTTGCACCCGCTGGCGAGTGAGGTCATACTCATCTCCCCAGCGGATGTCCCACTCAAAAATGGCATAGCCCAAAACATGCTGGCGACGTCGCCAGGCTCGGCTGAGATTGCCGGAGCCGCTGAACACCTCGAGCGCTACGGCCCCGCCCGCGCGGGCGGCAAAGGCCGGCAGCGCTCGCAGAGGATGTCGCCAATCTTCTTGGCGCAGGCGATGGCGTGGTCGAGGAACGGCTGCGGCAGCTTGGCCAGCTGGTCGGCGATGCGGCCCCCCTTGCCGTACCTCGTCACCGAGCTGTCGCTGGCCCAGCGGCCGCGGGCCTTCACCTCCGCGATGCCGCGGCGGCCGCTGGCCAGGTCGGCGGACGCTCCGCCGTGTCGCAGCTGGTACAGGCCTGGTGGGCCCTCGAGGCCCAGCTGCTGGCCCGCCGTGCGGAACGCCTGTGCCAGCTGCACGTGCCGCACCTGGGCCACGAGACCCTTGTCGTCGACGCCGGCCTTGAGCAGCTTCAGCACGTCGCCGATGAAGCGGTAGAACGGCAGGTCGCCCAGCACGCTCTCGTTGAAAGCGCCGGTCTTGCTGGGCGTCTCCTCCTCCATGGGGAACAGCACGAGCGACCACGCATCGTGACCTGCCGCCCGCGCCGGCGGCACCACTTGCCGCCCGGTCAGCGACATCAGCTCCACGGGACGCAGGTAGAACACGAACATCACGATGATGAGGCGGGCAGCGTGCAGGTCCTGGTTCGCCACGAGCTTGTTTGCCACCGCGCAGGCGACCTCCCATGGCAGCGGCAGCCGGCTCCGAGGCGGCACCAGTCGCCTCCACCCCTTCAGCGCTCGGCTGAACCGGGGCAGTCCGGCGACGGACAGGAGCCGCGGGTAGTAGTACAGCAGCACCGCCTTGAGCCTTGTCCCCTCCTGGGCGTCGCCGCCGTCGAAGAACGCGTGGTGGGCCCACTCCACGGCTGCCTCGTCGTAGTCCTGAGCGGCCTTGAGGCGCAGGCCCAGGGTCTTGGAGAACACCCTGAACTCCACGAGCACCGACTGGTAGACCCGCTGGTTGTGGTCGCCCACGCTCTCCCTCTCGAGCAGCGAGAGGCCCTCGCCATCTGTCACGCGCTTGTCCTCTGGGAACTTCGCTCGCCGGACAGCGGCCCGCTCCCCCCTCGTGGCCAGCACCTCGGGCCGAGGCTTGGCGAGTCTCGCCGATGCCTTCGCCCGGGCTTGCCTCTGGGTCGGCCGCGGCCGCGGACCAGCCTTGGACAGTGCCGCTGCTCGCGACAGGGTGAGCGGCTCGCCCTGCACAGGTCGCCGCTTCGCAGACCCGCCTGGCCTCACCAGGCTGCCGGTCGCCAGAACCACATCCCCCGAAGACGGCAGGGTCGGAGCACCTGCGAGTGGTCGCGGGAGGCCGGTCGTCACCCGGCTCGGATAGACCTGGTGGAGGCCGAAAGTGCCCAGGTTTGAGCCCAAATGGCTTCGGCTGATAGCGACGCGAAGGCTCGTCGGCCACATTCAACTCAGACCGAATCCACCGAACTCGAGGATACAAATCGGCCGCAAACACCGTCGCCGCCCACTGCCTGCACACTCTCATTAAGGCCACGCTCGACGATCGGCCCTTCTCAAGGGCCAGGACCTCGGACATCCCGTCGGTCAGAAACAAAATCCGCTTGCCAAACTCGCTTAAACCCCGGCTCGCATGTCGGACCCCCCAGACCAGAGCGCGCCCTTCCAAGATGGGCATCGCCTCCCGTCGCATCCAGCGGCCGGCCGAAATGGTGGCCCAGGATCCCTCAAGGATTTCGGGCCCGATCTCCGCGACGGCCCCACTCCGATCCGCCTCGCCGAGGGCTTCCAGGTGCCGAGCCGTCCCGACACGATCCAGGTCGTCCAGACCGGCCGCCGCGGCTAAGTTCAGCTCCTCCCGGAGCGAGGCGTCTCTCGGCCGAACGCGATCCTCGGCCCCCCGCGAGAAGCGCCACCGGTCCGACCACCGGCCAGCCTCCGCGATGGACCGAGCGTCACGCTCAGCCAAGCAACCCCCCCGACCCCAAGGGGAGGCGTCTGTGCACCGCACCTTTGAGCTCCAATCGGCATCGAGGCGACGACGGAGGAGGGGGAGGAGACCTACTGCCCAACGAAGCCCCCTCCGCACGGCAGCCCACAACCTACGGCGAGTGTCGGCCCCCCGCTGACTGAAGGCATGCGCAGCGGAGAACGCACACAGGGCCTCAGGCTGAATTCGAGCGGCAAACGTGAAATGTCCAATGATGGCCTCGAGGTCCCTACCAGTAGCGAAGCCCCTCTCTAGGAGCCCTTCTATGCCGAGACGGAGCCTCCACACTCGGCGAGGGCTCGCACGAACCTGAGGGCACTCGTCACTAAACTCCCAACCCAAGACGGACCCGCCAACCGAGCTCTCACGAGGATGCATGCAGAGCCCCGCGGTGGTCAGGGCGTCTAGAACGGAATCGGCCACGGCATCGACCTCACTGGCCTGACGCCCGATGGCCGCGAAGTTGTCCACGTATTCCGTGTGAGCAAACCCCGAGCGGCCCAGGCGCACCCCGGGCTTCTTATCCGAGAGCTTGTTTGAGAGGAACACGCCGGGCTGCCGAAAGGCATGACATTCGTGAATTCGCTGGCACCACCACAGAGCATGGTTCCAACCCATCGGCACAACGCGCAGGTGGGGGTACACGAGCTGGGTCGGAGAGACAGCGGCGCCGTCGAGCTCAGAGACTCCAGCGAGTCCGGCCGTGACAGGGCGGAGACAGAATAAGGGGACGAGCTCAGGAGGGAGGAGGAGGTGGTAAAAGGCATCCTGGATGTCGACCTGGGCGAGGCACACTGGGGGCCCCGGGTCAACCTCGAGGGGCGCGAACGATCCGCCAGTGGCCAGGTCGACCGGATCAGGAGAGGCGAAACACAAGTTGGATAAACGCGCGTCCACAATCAATCTTTGGTTGCCGTTCTTTTTCCAAACAGTAAACAGGCCTACCCGGGGCGATCCATGCCGCCTCCACTCGAGCATTCCTGCGCCGTCGAGGGCCGCAAGGAGTCGCGCATACCGGCGCGGCCTCCCCTGCAGCGAAGGATCGTAGTATGGGCGCTTCAAGGCCGACTCGGCCACCCGCGCCGCCGCCTCCGATGGAGGCAAAACTTTGTCTTTTAAAAAGGCGTCGACTACCATTGGACCCTCATCCCCGAGCAAAGTAGTCAGCGCCCGAGGACCGCCCCCACCAGCAGGCAGAGACAAAAGAGAAATGTCGAGCCGAGCGACAGACACCTTCTCGCCGGTGTAGCTGCGCTTGGCCAGGAGCTCCGCGAGGGCTCCCTGGCGAGTCAGGTCGGCGGGCGGCCGTCCGAGCTCAGCTACCGCAGCCTGGATCATCCCCAAGCTGCGCTCCTGCCCGGCACTGGCCCGCTGTCCCTGAGGTTGCGGATCAGCAGACCCGCGGTCGAGCTCGTTCAGCGCGATCGCGCAGCAGCGAGCCCAGTCTTCGCAATGGGCTCGCTCCCCTCGGCGGCGTCGCCCCCGACGAGACTTTGGCTGGCCGCCATCGTCGCTGCTCGTGCTTGGCAGGCGGTAGTGAGGCAGAGGAAGCAGATCACGGTTGACAACCCTGCCCTCATGTGAGCCACGTACATCGGCCGCGCTGGGGCTCATCTCCAGCGGCCCCCCTGCATACTCGCCGCGGGATCGGGGACTCCCGCGGCGGCCCCATTCACTGGTCATGCTTGCCCGCGAGTCGCCGTTCCTCGCGGGCTTTCCTCATCTGCTTCATGATGCCAGAGTCCCGCTCCAGCTCGGAGGCGACGTAGGTCAGCAGCTCGGGCGCCACCATCACCTCGCCGTACTCACGATGCTTCCCCGAGAAGACAGCCATCTCCTCGAGGCGCGCACCCTTGCCGCCCTTCTTGTCCTGCTGCTTGCCGGAGTCCGACTGCCGATGGACCTCGTAGTAGAAGTACTCGATGAGCTGCATCCGCCGCACGATGTCCTCCGCCGCCGCTAGGTTCACAACGTCGCACTGGTCGTGGGTCCCCAAGCGCTCGAGGATCTTCGCCAGCGTCTCGTGCTCGGACACCCCCCACTGGTCCATGGACAGCCTGTTGTCGGCCCGCCAGCGCCGATCCCAGCCCACGGGCCCCTCACTCCGTCGGTCGAGGAACTTAGTGCACCACTCTGCCGTCTGTGGGCCCGGCACGGGCCAGTCCGTCTGCTTCACTGCGCTCACATCACGGGCCACGTCACGCCAGGGACGATGTCGGTCGCCTCGGGAGTCCCTCTGCAACTTCAGCAACCTCGCGTCGTGGTGGGCCTCCTTCGACCTGTAGGCCTCCACATCCGCGTCGCCGATGTCCTCCATCAGCACGGACACCCCCATCAGCACGATCACCCCCTTTCGGCCCGACACCATCTCCGAGCCGTTGAACGCCACGTCATCTCCTCGGCCCACGCTGCCTCCAGGGAACTCAACGCTCTCAGCCGCCACCCAGCGCACTGTGTGGACCGTCACCGGCTGCACCGTCGGCCGCGCTGGCGGCCGGAAGTCGCGGCCGACCCCCATGAGGCCCTGGAGCGCCGCCGGGCCCGGCCCGTCGTCCTCGCCCTCGCCCGGCGCCCCCGGCGCGGGAGGCTGGGCCGGCACGTAGGCGGGCGCTCCTGCCGCCACGCGGCCAGCCCCACCCGCCTGGGCCACGGCCGGTCCGGCGGCCGCGCCGCCCGCGGCGCCAGCGGCACCTCCAGCTCCCCACACGGCGATGCCGTACCCGCGGCGCTGATCCTCCAGCCCAGCGGTGTAGGCACCCTCCTGCATCAGTCTGCGCAGCGTCGCCGCCGACGGGAACTGACCGAAGTGATAGATCAGGTTCCGCGGCACGCCCTCTGGCACCTCGTTGTTCGGGCCCAACCAACGCACGGCGACGGCGTCATTGAAGTCCTCAATGTACATGTCACCATCCGGCGTCAGGATGAGGGCCCGGGAGTCCGAGGACACCAGTCCGGCGAGCACTATTCTCCAGTGCCACTCCGCGGCCCCGTAGTTCACCAGACAGCTGCGACCGGCCAGATGCAGGGTGCCCTGCGGATGGCCCCGCGCCTGCATGGCGCCTCGCGCAGCACGTACCCAGGACGAAGCCGACCAGCACCGCCACGCCGCCGAGCCCGCACGCGAAGCTCAGCGCCACTCGCGTCTCCGGCCAGCAGTCTTGCCGGCCCAGCGCCTCGGCGGCCTCCGCCGGGCACGTGCTCGGTGGGCACGCGGGCGGAGGCGGGCACGCTGGCGCCGCGGGCGCCTCGGGGCAGGCGCGGGCCTCCACGGCCGGCACCGCCGGGCAGGTGACGCTCACCTGCGGGCACGTGACCGCCGGCGCTGGCGGGCACGTGCAAGCGCCCGCCGGCGGGCAGGCCGGCGAGGCTGGGCACGGTGGCGGCTGGCACTTCCCCAACCACGCGCCGCCCAGGTTGGCCACCCCCAGCACGGCGGCCTGGGCAAGCTGGCCCAGCATCAAGGGCCCCTGGTCCGTTTCCCCCCCTGCCCCCCGGGGAGGGGGGGGCTCGAGCCAGGAAAAACTACAGATCGGTGTTGACGGCGTGTTTCGGTCTTTTGCATATCATTAATCAGCAAGCTTAAACAAATATATCTATATATATATATATATATATATGTACACGTGTATGTGTGTGTGCGCGTCCGTGTGCATGTGTGTGCGTGTGTGAGTGTGCGTGCGCGTGCACGTGAACGTATGCGTGTGCGTGTGCGTGTGTGCGTGTGTGTGTGTGTGTCTGTGCGTCTGTGTCTGTGTGTGTCTCTGTGTCTGTGCGTCTGTGCGTCTGTGTGTCTGTGTGTCTGTGTGCGTGTCTGTGTGTATGTCTGTTTGTGCTGTGTGTCTGTGTGCGTGCGTGCCTGCAAGTGTGTGTATGTGTGCGTGCGTGCGTATGTGTGTGCGAGTGTTCGTGCTGGGCGGGTCACCGCGCTTTGTGCCACTGTGTGCGTGTGCGTGTGTATGTGCGTGTGTGCGTGTGCACGTGTGCACGTGTGTGCGTGTGTGTGTGTTTGTGTATGTGTGTGTGTGTGTGCGTGTGTGCGTGGGTATGTGTGAACATTTGCGCGTGGTGCACGTGTGCGCGAGTGCGTGTGTGTATGTGTGTGTGCGTGTGTTTGTGTGTGTGCGTTTGTGTTCGTGTGCGTGTGTGCGTGTGTTCGTGTGTGCGTGTTTGCGTGTGCGTGTGTGTGGGCGCGTGCGCGTGTGCTTGTGCGTGTGCGTGTGCGTGTGTGCGTGCGCGTGCGCGTGTGTGCGTGCGCGTGCGCGTGTGCGTGTGCGTGAGTGCATGTGCGTGTATGTGTATGTGTGTGTGTGTTTGCAAGTGTGTGTGTGTGTGCTTGTGTGTGTAAGTTTGTGCGCGTGGGTGTCTGAGTGTGCGTTCCCTTGTCCTGTCCTCTTCTCTCGGCTACGCGCGCGCGCGCTGTTTGCCGCGCGGGCGTTTGACTGCGTGGAGGTGCTCCCGCCTGTGACGACCGAACAAGTGTGCGTGTGCGTGCGTGCGTGCGTGCGTGTGTATGTATGTGAGTGTGTGTGTGTGTGTCTGTGAATGTGTGTATGCGATTGTGTGTGCGCGTGTGTGCCTGCGTTTGGGCTGTGTGTGTGTTCGTGTGTGTACGTGCGTGCGTGCGGCGTGCGTGCGTGCGTGCGTGCTTGTTTGTGTGTGGGTGTGGGTGTGTGGGTGTGGGTGTGTGTGTGGGTGCACGTGGATGTGCGTGGATGTGTTGTGTGTGCGCGTATGTTCGTGCTGGGCGGGTCACCGTGCATCGTCGGTGCGAGGTCACCTTCGCGCCCTCGCGCCACCCCCATGGAGAAGGGCAGCCCAGAGAAGCAGCTCTCCGGCCCAGGCCGCAACCGGGCAACTGCCTGCGCGCTCCCGCGGGCGGGCCGCAACAGGGGCACGCTTGGCTCCCCGGGAGTCCTGCGCCGCCCGCCACTCCCGGTCTGCGAGCACGTACTCGAGCGTCCGCTTGCGGGCCTCCAGGCGCTCGCACTCCTGGAGCTCGCGCTGCTCGCCCTCGAGGGCGGAGAGCTTCTCCTGGATCTCCCCGACGAGGCCCTGCGTCCGGGACCGTCGCATCTCGGTGTCTTCCATGATGCGGACCGATTCCGAGCGCCGCTCGTCGTAGACCCCTGCTCCAGAGACATCCTTCAGAAGCCCCAGCCGCTGCACATCGGTCATCAGTGTCAACTCGCTGACCTTTCCCTGCTGCACTATGTAGTACGGGCTCGTCTTCGCAAAGCCAGCACCTTCGAGCAGGCCGAAGATCTCTGCCTTCGTGGCGTGCTTGCCGTCCAGGAGCCAATCGTCCTTCTTCACGCCAATGAGGCGGCGAATGGAGACCTGGTCGCCCTCCACAGGGATCCGGCGGTCCGAATTGTCAAGGATGACCTCTACGTAGGCGGTGAGCACCGCCTGTCCTGCCCCCTCGTGGAGAAGAGCCTTGCGTGTCTCAGCGCGCAAAGAGCTGAACTGGTCGGAGAGAACAAACAAGATGGCCTGGAAGAAATTCGACTTCCCGGACCCGTTAAAGCCCACCACGATGTTGGTGCCGGGCGAGAAGTCCTCGTCCAGAGAAGTCTGCTCCTTGTAGGTCTTGAACCCGCGAATGATCACTTGCTTGATGTGCATCGCGAGGCCTCGGGATGCGCCGCTCCTTGATCAGCGGGCCCGAATTCCACAGTGTCCCAGAGGGCTAGCGCTGGCGCAAACGTAGCGCGGTTGTGGCGCGGTTCGAGCCAGAAGCCGTGCCCCCCCCCAGCTGTTCGCGCGCGCCACAGAAATGCCGCCAGAGCCCTCGCAGCAGTGGAGGGAAACAATTGAGCAACACGCTCCCCTCCCCCACATTCGGGGAAGGGGGGAATTCAAACTTCTCTCTCTCTCTCTATATATATATGTATCTGCAAATATGCACAGATCTACATATTTATGTATAATGCATTCTGCGTGAGCATTGATGAATTATTTGCAACACCAACAGAGCGGCTCCACAACCAGTCGGGGGTTGAAAATCGAGAGGACGCCGAAGGAAGATCACGAAGGAAGAAGAACAGTAGTAGGAACAGGACGAGGAGCAGGACAACCAGTAGGAGCAGGAGCAGGAGGACGAGGGGAGGAGGAGCAGGAAACAGGAGCAGGAGGATGAATCGCGGCCAAGTTAACCACGCCGAACGAGTCAGCAGGCCCTGCTCCATTCAAAGCCTCCAACCCGTAATATAAAAATCCACCGACCACTTAGGGTCCCTATACTCCCCGCCCCCTAGTCTCCCGCACCAAACCCAAAATCGCGGTTTCGAGGGAGGCCTGGCCAAGCCCCCAGGAACTCGCCAGGGGGGGGGGGCGCCGGGCTCCCCTGGGGTCCTCATGTAGCTCCAAAGCGGCTCCCGAGACCTCCCAACTATGAAAATTGCCACAGACGGTTCGAGGAAGACCCGAAACAGCCCACAATCCCCGCAATCCCCCGACGAAGGACGAGACATCCGCCAAACGGGCCCACGAGAGGGCCCAACATGACAAAGGCAACCGCGAACAACAAACGCCACAATCAATCACTCTACAGATCATCCACAAAAACCAGGGCAGCCCCACCGACCGTTCTAGCGCCCCCCCCCGACACCCACACCTTTGAGAAAAACAACCGACAGAAAGAAGAGGTCGGCGGATGCGGCGCAAACCTAGACAATTAACGGTGACGCAATTTGATATTGGGACTGGACCGCACTCCCATCCAGCGAACGGAAGTCGTTCGCGCGCGGTCCCGCTTCCGATGATGTGGCAAGAAAGAAAGACGTGGGCCGCGCACGGGTGAAAACAGAACATCCGAAAATTATGTCGCAGCGCTGCGGCGACAACACCATGTAGCCTTTCTCGCGCGGCCACATATGCGAAGCATGCACCGCGCCGAAACAACACCCTTTGTCACGCACATGTTGCGCGGCGTTTGGGCGAGGCGACCTCATGCGATTCAGCGAGCAAGCGTGCGCAGCGCCCCCGCGGGAACGCCTCTTTCAGGCAACACCCGCACGGAGCTTGGGCCAAGGCGACAGATCGCCCGCCCGAGCGCGCCCCCGCCCCGACGACGCGGCCAGTAAAACTAGGTGCCGCCGCCGAAGCGAGAACTAGACGAAGAAAACTGTTTTGGTTCGCGGGTCGAGGAAACGTTGTTTGGTTCGCGGGTCGAGAGCGCACCTCTTCCGGTCGAAGCTGAGCGGGCCGCGCAGAGCTTGAATTACGCAGAGAAGGGGGATGAGGAGGGGGGCGCTAGACGAAGAAAACACGCCTATAAACATAAACTTGTGGCGCGCCGCGCGGATTTTTCGGATCTGCGCTCGCACCCCCTCACTGGCGCGCGGAGCGCGCCAGGGGCGGCGCCGGACGCGCCGCCACGGGGGCTCCACGCGGATCCGAGACACCCGCGCGGAGCGCCAAAAGTTTATGTTTTTTTTTATAGCGTTTTTGCTTTCCCTTCTCTTGCCGTCGCTCGGGCGTCCATTTCCCGTGCATGTTTCGATTTCGTGCGTGTTTTTTGGGCTCGATGGTCCAGGATGGTCCTCGAGGCTCCTCGCCGAGGAAAAACTACACACGTCCGAGCGATGCCAGTTTCTTCGGAGAACGACATTCTCTGCCGCTCGCGCGACGATGCCTTGGCGGGCGACAAAAGGGACGACGCGCCCTTGCGGGAACTCCACCCTCAGACTACTGCGCGCGGCGCCGCGCGCGCGCGCGACGTGCGCCCCGCCCCCCTCCTGCCGCGCACGTGGCAACGCTGGCGGCAAAGCGCCCACATTGAAAGGAACAGCGTCGACGATGTGCTGCTTTTAACAATTCGGATGGAAAGGCCAGGCAGCGTCGACGATGTGTTGCTTTTGACAAATCGAACGGAAAAGGTCAGGTGTTGCCAGAAGTGCCCATGGCCCAAAGTGCCCCAGGATGTCCACGGCGGCCCCCACGGCCTCCAGAGCACGCCTTACGAGGCCTCGAGGGCCCCAGAGGCCCCAAAAGTCCTCGAAAGACTGGGAGCACCATTGGGCCAGGGGCACCCTGTGCAACCCCCGAACAGGCCCCGGCGAGGTCGCTATCTGCCGGCCAGGTGGAGGAGGAGGAGGAGGAGGAGGAGGAAGCAGGACATGCGCATGTGCGAACCGAGTTGGCCAGGCCGAGCGAGCCCGAGGGCCCCGCCTACTCCCAGCCTCCGTTCCACAACACAAGAACAATGCATGGTGGCGCAACCTGGCTTTCCCGCCCCAAGGGGCCCCCAAGAGCCCCCTAAGAGGCCCCAGGGGAGCCCAAGACGCCGCCAAGGAGCCCCAGGACGCTCCCCAGAGGCCCCCCAGAGGGGCCCCCAGGACGGCCCCAGGAGGCCCCAAATAGCGCTCCAGGGCCGGCGGAATGAGCGAAGCGATTAAATACAGTCGGGGCGTTGACCTAAGGAACCCTAAATAAGGAACGAGGCCCCTTTTTCCCATAAGTTCAACCTCGATTTCCGATGGAGAAAACGGCAGGAACACCCGAGGCAAGCTGTGAAACACTTAAGGAACGCGGAGCCCCTCCCCAACGAAAAGGGTTCCTTCTTCGGGGCCCCGACTGTAATGCACGGTGGCACAACTTGGCTTTGAGCTTGCAGCGCGCTCCAACTCCGCAAAAACGGCGGGCGCTCGCGCGCGGCCCCGCCTCCGACGACTTGGCGGAGAGAGAGAGAGAGAGAGAGAGAGAGAGAGAGAGCACGGCGCGGGCCCGCGCAGGGGCGGGAGCGGCAAACACTCCGCTAGGCGCGGCGACGACGAGGCGTGCGCTGCGCTGGCACGACGCCTGCCGCTTTCACTCACACGGGCTACACGCAAGAGGGACCCTGGGTATAAGAGTGACCTCTGGTGCGCGGCTTCTTGAGGGCCGCGGGGGGGGGGGCAACCACGAGCGCGCAGGGCGCCACCATCGCAGCGCGCTCGGCGATCGGGGGACCCGTCTGTGCCCGCACCCAAATTGGACGCCCGAGTTATCCGGGGTAACTCGGGTCCGGGGTAACTCGGGTTTGGGTTCCCGAAAAACGAACCCGAGTTAGCCCTGACCCGAGTTACCCCTGATGATTCGGGGCTCTGGACGCCCGAATTATCCGAGGTAACTCGGGTCCGGGGTAACTCGGGTTCGGAATCCCGAAAAACGAACCCGAGTTAGCCCTGACCCGAGTTACCCCTGATGATTCGGGGCTCTGAGAATCGCCGATCGCCGAGGCTGCGCGGCGCTCGGGCGGGGCCGGCATTCCGCCCCCTCCCCCGCGGCCCCGCGGCCGCCGCCGCTGTCGCTGCGCTTCGGTGCGCGTCGATGCCCCGCGCCGCGCCCCCCCCGCCGGGAGCGCCGCCTCCGAGCGAGATTATGCGCACGGAGCTCGGGCGGCACGCCGCCCACGCGCGCGGGCTCCCCCCCGGCCTCTCGCGCGGGAGAGTGCGCCCCGTCCCATGCCTGCCGCGCATGCTGCAACATTGCCGACACGCAGTGTTCGTACTGAAACGACAAATGCGGTTGCTGTATAGCTGAGCAGGGGCCGACCGTCCCGGCATTTCTGTAGCCCTACCACGACATAATTCTAGAACCCAAAGATGTTTTAAGAAAAAGCAGTGTTCTTAGAAAATAAACCCGATGTGCTAAAACAAGACAATATCAGCCAGAAATGTTCTAAGAATATTTCGTGCAGACCACAAACAATTCTTAGAACATTGTTTGGTGGGACTATAAGCGAGCCGGGACGCTTCGCCACTGCTTGATATTGTTGTTTTGACAGGTCCATGGGACCTCCCGGGTCCGGTTGCTATAGGCCGGCTAGGTGGCAGGAGCATGCACGAAGAAAGGCTACAGGAAAGAGGGGACAGCCGCGGATGCGAAGGGAAGGGGGACGAGTCGGAGTCCGACGACCCCCGCTCGCTGGGGGTGACCCGGCGTGTGAGACGACTGGCTGTCACCCTGCCCCTGACCTCCTCCCTGGGGGGTCCAACATCCTGTAGGAAGGTGGGAAGACGGGGAGGGGGGCGGCGAGCTCACCAACGCACCCCCCCAGGTCTCCAAATGCACACTCCGACGCATCAACGATACCGACGATACCCTCAAGGACGTCACGAGAATGCTCCAACACACCGGAGAGGTCTCCAGAACACCAAAGATGGCCTCAAGACGGCCCAAGGGCCTTCCCAGGACGCCCCCAGAGGGCCCCAAGAGAATCCCACAGAGGGCCGCAAGAGGCAAAATTCCAGAATTCCCCATCTGGCTGCTCGCGATCTCGCCGTTTCGGGCGTCGGAAAAGCACTGAAAAGCTGGGTCAGGTCGCGCTGCCTATGAAAAGGGGGGAACGACTCTTACACATGCTCGCGGTCTCGCCATTTCGGACGTCTGAAATGCACTGAAAAGCTGGGTCGGATCGCGCTGCCTATCAAGTGGGGGCGGAATAATACACTCCTACTTTGGCACCCTGGGGCGCTCAAAACTCCCTCTGGCCTGCGGGAAACCCCTGACCGACGGGGGGGGAACAAGCCGCGGCTGACCGCAACCGGCCGCCTTCGCACTGCCAGGCCACGGCGCAGTGCAGAGAGGAGGAGGAGGAGGAGGAGGAGGAGGAGGAGGAGGAGGAGGAGGAAGAGGAGGAGGAAGGAGGAGGAGGCGGAGAGGAGGAGAGGGGAGAGGAGGGGAGGGAGGAGGAGGAGGAGGAGGAGTGGAGGGACGAGGAGGAGGAGGAGAAGGAGGAGGAGAGGCGGAAGAGGAGGAGGAGGAGGAGGAGGAGGAGGAGGAGGAGGAGGAGGAGGAGGAGGAGGAGGAGGAGGAGGAGGAGGAAGGGGCGAGACGACGGGGAAGGACGCGTGCACGCGTGCCCCGAGCCCCCCAGGGGGCTGCTGAAACACGGCCCGCGAGAGCCAAAGAAAGCCCAAAAGGCCCACAAGAGGGCCAAGAGACGGCCTAGGAGAGCCGCGAGACGACCCAAGAGGCTCTCAAGACAGCCCAGAGGAACGTCAGGAGGGCTTCGAATGGCTCTAGACGGGAAGTTCGCAGGCGCCGCGGGAGCTCTCCCCCCCGAGGTAGAACGACAATCTCCAAGCCATTGCAACAGAAATCGAAATCCCTCCTTTCGTCGAGCGAGGCGCTACCCGTACTGGTTTCGCGCCAAAATGCTGCAGTGACGAACGGATCGATGAAACACTCGGCGGTGAGCGAGGGAGGGAAACTAAGACGGAGAAGGCCTTCTCAGAAGGCGGCAGGGCTTGTCAGAAGCCCTCCGGCCTTCTGGGAAGTTTTTTACGTCTTCGGGGAAGACTGAGACAACTTCTAAGAAGGCCCAGGGACTTCCGAGCCGTCTGAGAAGGCCCACCTCTTCTCACTTCCCCCCCGCGCTCGCCGCCGATTTCAGGGCCGACCAGCGAAATTGGCCAGGAGCGGGCCGAAAAGGCAAAGATTCAGGATGCCAGGGCATCCAGGATACCCAGAAACCAACGTAAGTCTTGCGCCAGATAGTGCGCGAGCAGGGTGAGAAACTGAGCACTGGCGCCACAAGCTCGAACTACCTACAACGAGCTCCACTTCTTCACTGCTGGATCCCGCGAAGCACTGGCCCCGTCGTTGGAGAATGAGGACGACGACATCCTCTCATTTCTGATCTGCCCCGGGGCCTGGTGAAGGGCCCCTGTGGCCGAACTCGACGAAAAACACCTGGATCAAAAGACATATCAGCCATCTCCTTTCCCTTCCTTCCTCCTCCTCCTCCTCCTCCCTCCTCCTCCTCCTCCTCCTCCTCCTCCTCCTCCTCTCCTCCTCCTCTACCCTCCTCCCTCCTCTCCTCCTCCTCCCTCCTCCTCCTCCTCCTCCTCCTCTCTCCTCTCTCCCTCTCTCCTTCTCTCCTCTCTCCTCTCTCCTCTCTCCTCTCTCCTCTTCTCCTCTCTCCTCTCTCCTCTCCCTCCTCCTCCTCCTCTCCTCCTCCTCCTCCTCCCTCCTCCCTCCTCCTCCTCCTCTCCTCCTTCCTCCTCCTCCTCCTCCTCCTCCTCCTCCTCCTCCTCCTCCTCCTCCTCCCTCCTCCTGATCGGGGGCGGCGATCGTACGGAACGCATCCCTGTCCCTGTCTGCACCGCCCGGCATCTCCGCACGGCTCGCGCGCGCCGCGGCCTCTCCAGCTGCAGCTGGATCTCCTGGCACGGGGCGGCCCAGGGAAGAGCCAGGCGAGCGCGGGGGGGGCGCGGAGGGGGAGCCTCCCTCCTCCTCCTCCTCCTCCTCCTCCTCTTCCTCTCTTCCTCCTCCTCCTCCTCCTCCTCCTCCTCCTCCTCCTCTCCTCCTCCCCTCCTCTCCTCTCTCCTCCTCTCCTCCTCCTCCTCCTCCTCACCTCCTCCCTCCTCCTCCACTCTCCTCCTCCTCCTCCTCTCCTCCTCCTCCTCCTCCTCCTCCTCCTCCTCCTCCTCCTTCCTCCTCCTCGTCCCCCAGGGCTCCCAACATGCCCCCCAAGAAGCCCCGAGGCGACTCCCACGAGGCCGCCCCCGAGGCCTCCCGAGAGGCCCCGGAGCAGGCGCGGCGGAAGAGGACAAGCCAGCAGCAGCTGCACAAGGGCAGCGCGGCGGGAAGCGGGGAGCAGCAAATGCGATGTCTGAAGGCACGTGCTCTGTGTAGCGGGCCCCCGGGATGGCCTACGGGCAAAGTTTGTAGTGAGGACGCGCTGCAAGGACGCAAGACCCTGGGACGGTCCTTCGACGCCCCAGTTGAAGCTTTCCTGGCGGCGCACTGCAGAAAAAAAGTGAGGACGCAAGGGTGCCCTTAGGAAGGTTACCCGTCCTTACAAAAGGAGCTCGACCACAAGAAACCTTCCACAAGAAACCCAACCCTGAGACCCCAGGACGTCCCTTGATTGTTGGTGTCGGAGCGTCGCGCTTCCCACAGCAAAACCATCGAAACCCAAGACACCCAGGGCACCCTGGAGGCAAGCAGGGTGTTTCTTGGCATGGGCCCAAAAGTGCACTGATTATGGACTTTCACTGTAAGGCCTCTTGAGTAGGCATCGGGTCATCAAGGCTCCGTGCCCCCGTGCGGCGTGCAAGACGTGGGCCGCGGCAGAATCGGAACCGGATCCTGGAGCTCGGGGCTCGTTTCAAGGGGCTCAAGGACACGCAAATGCATACACACAAGTCTCCAAAAATCCAAGAGATTTTGAATCTTTTCTGGATTTCCGTCCCCGCGTCCCATATTTCCCCATCTTTTCCTGGGGGATCGACGATTACTCGTGTCTGTGTTTCTTCCCCCGCCCGCTTGGAATCGGGGCCTGGAGCTCGGAGCTCTCTCCCGGACAAGCTGCTCATCCCGAGCCAGTCCCTGACAGCCCCGGGCGTCGGAGGGGCCCGAGAGGCCCGAGGCGGCGAGGAAGACTCCACGACCTCCTCCCACCACGACCCCTTTGAAGAGGCCCCAGGACACACAAATAAATACACACAAATAAAAAGATTCCCCATCTGTTCCCATATTTTCTGGGTTTCTGTCTCCCCCCCCCCTTCCCATATTTTCCCCTATTTTCTGCGGAATCGAAGATTAATTGTGTCTGTGTGTTTCTTTTCCTCCTGACCCTTCGCTTCATGCTGGCCACCGCCGCCGCCCCCACGGGCACCCTCGGCGCGGCCGGCCCCCCGCCCCGCTTCCGCTGCTCCGCCGGGGAGACCAAAAAGTACCGATGTCGCCACTCCCCGGACCTCTCCCGGGGTGCGTCCTGGCCAGCATCTCGAGGCGAATCCAGCGCTGGCGACGCAGGCCTCCGAGGAGGCCCAAGCAGGCGAAGACGAGGGTACTTCACTTCGCGCCCTCTCTGCGCGAGCAACTTCGCGCTCCTGCGCCGCCCCCCCGGGGGAGAGGAGGACGAAGAGGCGGAGGGAGCCGAAGCGCGAAGCGAGAAGAGCTTCGCGCTTTCGAAGGGATCCTCGTCGGAGCCCGGACCTCTCCCGGGGTGCCTTCCGGGATCCGGCGGCGAACCCAGCGGTGGCGGCGAGGGCTTCCGAGGAGGCCCGGGCAGGCGAACGCGAGGGCACCTCCTCACCCCGCCCCCGCTGCTCGGAGCAGGGGCGCCGCACCTCGCGCCCCCGCGCCGCCCCCCGGGGGAGAAGAGGAGGGCGACGAGGAGTCCAACCGCGAAGCGGGGCGCACGCCGCGCCCTCGAGGGCACCCGTTGCCGGACAAGGCGAGCGGCGCGGCTCCTCCTGCAGCAGCTCCCGCACCAAATCCCGCTGACCGTCGAGCCCGCCGGGGCCGAGGCCGAGGACCTGCGGCCCGGCCCCCCCCCCCGCGCAAGCGCGCCCCGGGACCAGAGCCGAGGCCGAGCGAGAGGGGCCCGTGCAGCGGAGGAGGCGGAGGAGGAGGAGGCGGAGCAGGAGGCGGAGGCGGAGGAGGAGGAGGAGGAGGCGGAGGAGGAGGAGGAGGCGGAGGAGGAGGCGGAGGAGGCGGAGGAGGAGGAGGAAGAGGAGGAGGAGGAGGAGGAGGAGGAGGAGGAACAAGAGTAAGAGGAGGAATAACAGGAGGAAGAGGAGGAGGAGGAGAGGAGGAGGAGGAGGAGGAGGAGGAGGAGGAGGAGGAGGAGGAGGAGGAGGAGGAGGAGGAGGAGGAGGAGGAGTGTCGAGCCCATGTCGGGAGCGCTCGCTGTCGTGTTGCCGACCACGCTCGAGGGGCCCCGCGGGTGGGCGCGGGCGAGGGAATGGGCGGAAAGGGGAAAGAGAGGATGGGGGCTGCGGGAAGTGGGATGAAGTGGGACGGAGGGAGGGAGTGGGAGGAACTGAGAGAGGTGCGAGGTGGGGTGAAGCGGGGGGATGGAGTAACAGAGGGGAGGGACGAACTGGGGCAGCGTCGAACCCATGCGGGGGCGCAGTCCTGTTGCCGACCACGCCCGAGGGGCCCCGCAAATGGGCACGGGTGAAGCAAGCGATGGAATCGGGGAGAGGGGATGGGGCACAGTCGACCCGCACGGTAAGGCCTCACGATCAAAAGCGCGTTTTGTGGTCGCTTGGAACCGGACCCTCCCCCCTCCCCTACTTACTTTTCCTCTCTCCCTCCCCTTGGGCCGTCGCCGGCGTCGGCGGCGGCTGGCGGCGGCGGGGAGCGTCGATGAAGACGACGATTTTTTTTCTGGGCCGGCGCCGGCACCTGCGGCGGCGGCGGGGAGCGTCGACAAGGACGACGGCGACGGCGACGACGACGACGACGACGACACCGCTCCGCCACCGTGGGTTTGTCTTGGGTCAAAACCCTAGTGGATGCCTCTTGGGGTCTCGCCGGAGGGCGCTCGGGGGCCTCTGAGAGGCATTTGTGAAGCCTCCTGGGCGTCTCTTGGGCGTCTCTTGGAACCTCTCTGAGGTGGTGCTGGTGGTGGGCTGTGGTGGTGGTGGTGGTGGTGGTTGTGGCGGTGGTGGTGATGGTGGACTGTGGTGGTGGTACTGTGGTTGGCGGTGATGGTTGTTGCGGTGGTTGTGGTAGCGGTGGTTGTGGTGATGAGGTGGTTTGTCGTTGTGGTTGTGGTGGTGGTAGTGGTTGTGGTGGTGGTGGGTGGTGATCGTGGTGGTGGTGTTGCTGCTGCTGCTGGTTGTGCTGGTGGTGGTTTGTTGTGGTGGTGGTGGTGGTGGTGGTGGTGGTGGCGGTGGGTGGTGGTGGTGGTGGTGGTGGTGGTGGTGGTGGTGGTGGTGGTGGTGGTGGTGGTGGTGGTGGTGGTGTGGTGGTTTGTGGTGGTGGTGGGTTGTGGTGGTGGTGGTGGTGGTGACGGTGGTGGTTGTGGTGGTTATCGTTGGGTGGTGGTTTGTGGTGGTGGTGGCGGTGGTGGTGGCGATGGTGGGTTGTGGAGGTGGTGGCGGTGGTCGTGGTGGTGGTGGTGGCGGTGGTTGTGGTGGCGTGGTGGTTTATGGTGGTGGTGGTGGTAGGTTGTGGTGCTGGTAGTGGTGGTGGTGGTTGTGGCGGTGGTGGTGGTTTGTGGTGGTGGTGGTGGCTGTGGTGGTGGTGATGGTGAGTTGTTGCGGTGGTGGTGGTGGTGGTGGTGGTGGTGTTGGTGGTGGTGGTGGTGGTGGTGGTGGTGGTGGTGGTGGTGTGGGTGGCGGTGTGGTGGTTTGGAGGTCGTGGTGGTGGGTTGAAGTGATGGTGGTGGTGGTAGTGGTGGTGGCGGTGGTCGTGGTGATGGCGTGGTGGATTGTGGTGGTGGTGATGGTGGTGGGCTGTGGTGTTGGTTGTGGTGGTGGTACTGCTGGTGGTGGTGCTGGTGGTGGTGGTGGGTTGTGGTGGTGGTGGTGGTGGCAGTGGTGGTAATGGTGGTGGTGGTGGTGTGGTGGTTTGTGGTGGTTTCCCCTGGGCCCTCTCTGGTCATCGTCGCTGCGTCCCCGCCGTCGGCGCTGCTGGCCGCCGTCAGCGCCGGCGCCGGCGGGGGGGGGGGTTGGACCGTCCACCCCCCCCCTCTCCCTGGGCCCTCTCTAGTCATCGTCGCTGCGTCCCCGCCGTCGGCGCCGGGGGGGTGGGGGGCTTCGGACCACCCCCCCTGTGAGAGGGGGGGGGTTCGGGAGGGGGGCGGTTAGGGGGGAGGGGAGTCCCCCTGGTTCTGATCAACGGCGCCGAGTGTCGGGGGGGAGGGGGCCCACCCCCCAGTTCGAAACGCGCCGCCGAATGTTCCCAAGGCAAGCGCCCGTGAAACGCGCTCTCTCCACGATAAGGATGCAAGGGCCTTGGAGAGACACGTCGATACTCTGCTGGCGGGGCGCGGCCAGCGAAAGTGGCCAAGGATGTTCCGAAGGGAAAGGATGCAAAAAGCAACCTTGGAAAATCGCTCATCCTTACTATGCGGGTTGACTGTAGCCCTCCCGCTCCGCGGTGGAAATGTAAGCACCGGCTGGATGGACTGCTCTGGTTTGATAGGTTAATTCCCGGTCAAGGCGAGCTGTTCCGTGGGCATCTGATAAAATAAGCAATGAAATATTGATGGGGGCTCCAGAGGTTTCTCCTCGTCTTAGAAACTTCTCCTACGCTCGTTAGAGGCTTCTCAGAAGCTACTCAGAAGCTTACGAGAGGTTTCTGAAAGGCTTCTGAACAAATTCTGAAAGGCTTCTGAGAGAAGCTTCTGAGAGGCTTCTGAACAGTTTTGAGATACTTCTGAGGGCTCCTCAAAGGCTTCTGAGCGCGCACGGTTCTGAAATACACTTAAGCTATACCTGCGGCAATACCACCGCATAGCGATGTATCTCTATTCATACGCGACCATGCCTTCAGCACGAACTTGAGTGCCCAAAGGCTCATCACTCCCCTTTATTCTTATCCGACCCATCCGTTTAGAGAAGCCAGCGAAGATAATTTAATTCCTGCACACTTACCGAGTGTCACCGAGAAACGGCGACGTGACTCGCCCCACACAAACCCACCCCAACGAGAAAACGGCGAGCAAAACGCGAGTGTTCAAAGAACCTCTTCGAACAAAACAACGACGACGACGCGCCAAAACACTTACCGGGACGCATGCGAACCCTGCCACAAGGGCTTTCGGTGAAACTTCACGAATCTCCTATGAAGCCACGCACCGTGTGAGGGGTGTGCCAAAACTGGACTTGGGACGCATGTGAGCCATGCTATTGAGGCTTTCGGTGGAGATCCCTATGAGACCACGAACCGTGTGATGTGTGTGTGTGTGTGTGTGTGTGTGTGTGTGTGTGTGTGTGTGTGTGTGTGTGTGTGTGCGCGTGCCTAAATTTGCCAGGGGACACATCTGAACCCTGACACTGGGGCCTTCGGTGGCGCCCCCCATGAGGCCACGCGCCCCAAGGAGGCCCGCGAGCACGCCGCCGTCCGCATCACGCGCCCCAAAGAACGCCCAGGAACCCCGGAAAAAAAACGGCGACGAAAGATCCTGCGAAGACTTAGAGCACTCCCCGAGAAAAACGGGAAACGACGACGCCCAACCTCGACGGGTTGCCCGCTGGAGTCTCCTTTGAGGGGGGTGATAAAGGCTCATACGGTTCGAGTTGATGGCGCTGAACATTCTCAAGGGTCACGATCCAAAATTTCCAAGATTTCTTCAGCGCTCCCAGGCGCTCTCGGAGTGTATCGCGTGAACCTCCTGGACGCCCCTGCCGCCCACAACGACGCCCGAATCCGTCAGGACGGGCCAAGAAGATTCCTACAAAGCTGCAAGACTGTCCAATAGGGTTCCAAGATGGCCCAGGACAGCCTCAAGACGGCACAAAACGCTCCCAAGACGCCCCAAGAAGGCCTCCAAACGGCCCAACAAAAGAGCCCCAAAAGAGGACCCCAAGAAATAACAATTACTTGTTTCCAATGTTTAAAGGATTGTTGCATGTCCGCTGTTTCGGGATTCCAGCCTTCTAAGACGACCCAAGAAGTCCCACAGATCGCCTCAAGACGGCCCAAGAGGTTTCCAAGAGGGCCTCAAGACGGCCAAAAAGGGCCCCACAAAACGACCCCGATATACCCAACAGAGCAGAAGGCGGCCCCGTGAAGGTTCGAGCCCTTCCACAAAGATGGTCCCCGAGACCGTCAGCGAGACCCCAAGACCCCAAGAGACCCCAGAGGCCCCCAAGAGGCCCCCACAATGATTCCCAGAGGCCTACCTAAGAGATACCAAGGAGCCTACATTAACACTCGTAAAGCGTACATCGAGTCAGATAGTGAATTCCGAATACGCAGTGCAAGCTTCATATTGAACATGCACACGTAATTCGTGCTCTACGCACAAAGCACAGTTATGGGATGGGCTCCGGGCTCCTGTTGTTGGATGTGCTCCTTCTATTTGAGACACCGTGCGGACGTTATGATGGCACATCTTTGTTCAAACATGTATGACCCGTCACACCTGTAAACTTTTCAATACATAACTTACCAACACGAAAACACATGAACGGAACGCACCAGTTATGTACAATGCATGACTAGTGTATGCCTTCGTCATTCATCAGACGCATGTGAAACATATGGATGACATAACCAAACCTTCGAACACATACTTGTTGAGGACATCTACGCGTCGACCTATTCCCCGCCCGATTTTCCTGCAAACGTGTGTGGGTTCCTCGATGACACATCACGTGCATTCCACACTTAGATATGTTTTAATGCGTGTATATATATAATATGCATACACACACATATACTTATGTATGAGTACATGTGCATATCTATCTAGAGAGAAAGAGAAGGATCAATGCTTAATCCTTGAAATTCAGATTGAACAATCGTTCGTCGCTCACTTTCCGCAGTTATTGTTCCTGGTCGACCGGCACCTGGCGAGGCACGCGGCGAACCGGGGAGCAGATGACTGCCCCCCTGTCGCCTTCCTCCCCGCCCTCCTCGCGCGCGCGCGCTGCCGAGCGCGAGGGGCGCGCGGGGGGGGAGGGAGAAGGCAGAAAGTGAGAAGGAAGAGCCCGAGGGAGCGGGGAGGGATGGGGGGGAAGGAGGAAGGGGGGAAAGGGCAGGGAGGGGCAGGAGGCTGCGCAAAGGGGCGCGGGGGAGGAGGCGAGGGAACGAAGCCCCTTTTAGGGCCTCAGCTGCGCCGACATGCGCGAGAGGAGCGCAAGGGGAACACTCGAGGACGGTCCTAAAGAGCATCGAACCCCTCTCGAAACCTGAGTGTACCTCGCTTCATCTTTTGGCTATAACTCTTTGGAGCTGCCTGCGTGCCCAAGCTCACCCTCGGTGTGCCCGAGCCCACCCTGGGAGTGCCCACAGCCGCTGCGCATCATAAGGATGCAAGGTAAGGTCGCAAGGCCGTTGGGCGTCCAAGCTGCAAGGGTACCCCCAAGAGCTGGCAAGCCAAGTCGGCCAAGGATGAGCCGATAAGGCAAAGACGCAGTTGCATCCTTGCCAAACCACCTCGCCCGCATTGCACGCCGTGACCGTACCTTGGGGGGGGAGCGCCGCGCTATGGCCCCCGCTGGCCTCCTCCAGCTCCTCGCGCAGCGCCTTGATCGACGTGACGTTCAGGTCCTAACGCCACTTCCCCGTCTCCGCGCGGAAGGGAGGAGGCGGAGGAGGAGACGGAGGGGGAGGAAGAGGAGGAAAAGGAGGAGGAGGAGGAAGAGGTGGAGGAGGAGGAGGAGGAGGAGGAGGAGAATGATGAGGAGCTGGAGGTGGAGGACAATTTCATGTTTTTGGCCCTGCTGGGCATCCCGGGGTCCTCGCAACCACGGCTGGGCGCAACTCGAAGAGCTGGCCAGGAAGGGCCCCCAGGAAAGATCCGTGGACCCGTCATGAGCGGATTTCCTGGTCGGGGGCGCCCTCCCCAAGAAAACAAAGGGTTTCTTTGAAGGAGTCTCGCCCTTCCACCTCTTCTTCCTCCTCCTCCTCCTCCTCTAGTTCCTCTAGTCCCTGAGAAAAGGCAGTCCGCTTCGCAAACCTGCCACTCCCCCACACGTGGATCGAATACACACCAGGAAGCCCTCGGCCCGCCAGGAAAAAAGGGAAGAGCCTTGCCGCGGGCGGGGCCATGGAAGTTTAAACCTTAAAACCCGGTTGCTGCCAGAGACATCTGGAAAAAAGGAAAACCCCAGTAGCGTCCACTCTGGGGCTCCCGTCCTCCTCGGAGCTTTTCCAGGCACTTACGCGTGAACCTCGCAGCATCACGGCTGCGCTGGGTAAGCGGCACACACGCTCCAGCGGCACACGCGCTCCAAGCAACAATTGTGCTCGCCTCCTCCCATAAGCCCCGCAAGTCCTACAGAGTACTATCGTGGAGTCTACCCCCATCCCAGAGGGTCCCAAGCCGTCCGCCCGCCCCCGAATCACCCACAACCTATGGGATGGGCGGGACTGGGGTACCATCCGGGGGAGTCCTCGACAGCCCTTTGAAACGACCCTGGCCCTCTGGGCCCTGCGGACCCCACATGGGCGGAGCTGCGCGCCCAGCTTCGCCTTGGCGTCCGCCTCGCGGTTCCCTGCGAACGCCTGCTCGCGCCTGCTCGCCTCGGCCCAGCTGGTGTGGGCCTTCATCCAACGCAGGTCCACGGCCTCGGACCGGATCTCGGCCACCAGGCTGAAGACCCTCTTCCACAAGTCGGCATACGTGTGGTCGGGCCCGCAGCAGCGCTCTGGCCCCAGCTGGAAGTGGTCCCTGACGCCCTGGCAGTCCGTGAAGATGACCACGGGCTCTGGGTCAACTTCCCGCAGCACGCGGTTTACGGCGCACAGCTCGGCGTAGCCAATCTCCTGCATCCACCCAAGCGCGCAGCCGCACATGCCTCCCAGCGGCGCCCCCACGCCGTCCACCATGATGGCTGAGTTCTCGTAAGCCTGGGCACCTCTGGGTGTGCCGCCGACCCGTCAATGCAGATCACCCCGCTCAAGAAGTCGCAGCGCAGCCTCCTCGCGCTTGAGGTCGCGGCGGAGGTTCGCCAGCGCCGCGCGGAAGGGTTCCAGGTCTGGCGCCTGCCCGTCGAGCTGCTCGGAGCCGTCGTGCTTGGCCGCCTGCCTCATGAGGTATCTGTACGCCCCCGCCTCCACCAGGCTGGCGACCATGCGCGGACTGAGGATCTGCAGGTCCAAGATGTGCCCGCGCTCGTCCTCCCGGCAGTTCCACGCTCTGAACCTCCAGCCCAGGCGCTCCAGCGAAAGGCTGACCGCCCCACCAGGCCCTGCGACCTCCCCCCAACGACCTGGCTTCACCTCCAGCACCTTCCTGAACGCCGCTGCAGGCATGTATCCCATGAAGACTGCTTTCGCCCACGCCCTGAGAGGGAGCTCGTGCGCCGCGTGGGCGGGGTCGCGTTTCCAAGCGCGCCCCTCCTGTAAGGCGAAGAGCACCGTCCGCGACTTGCTGCCAGTGTCGCCCGTCAGCGCCTTGCCGTTCACAGCTCGAGCGCGTTGGAGTCCTTGCGTAGGAACCCGGCCGACCTTGGCGCCGCGCAGGATCGAGGCCAAGCCGCCCGGCCTGAACACCTGGGAGAGCCGCTTAGCCCCGGCCTTCCTCAGGGCCATGTGGCGGCCAGCGCGCTGCCTGAGGCGGTTGATCATCTGTCGGAGCACGCGCCAGGAGGCCTTCGTGGACATCGCGAAGTCCACGCCCAAGTTCTTAGTGGCCCTGACGTACCTGAACTGCCAGCGCTTCAGCCTGCTTTCGGCCCGACGAGCAACCTCCGCCTCCGAGCTCAGGATCTGGCCCTTGGTCATCGAGATCTTGAAGCCGACGTCCTCCAAACTCTGACACAGCATGCGCGCCGCCCCGGCTAGGATGTGTTCGGCCTGGTTCCTCCTCGCGTGGACCGCCAGCGTGATGTCGTCGATTACCGCGCAGGTCTTCACCGACTGCCACGCCTTCAGCATCGCATCGAGCGGCTCGATTAGGACGACCCTCAGGAGCGTGGTGGCGAACGAACACCACGCCAGCAGCGAAAGGGCAACCTGGAACGCCTCCGTCTTCCAGCGATCTAAGCAAAGCGGGAAGCCTTCACGGACTGCAGCATGTACCAGCCCTTGGTGCGTGACCCGCTCGTAGGCTTTGCTGAGGTCCGGCAAGGCCGCGACAGAAACCATGCCCACGGCCTTGGAGCGATCCGCGTCGAAGCTCTGCAGCCAGACCGCGCGCCTCCTGGTGTCGTACCTTGCCCAACAGCCTGACCAGCGACGCCATCGACCCAGTCGGCCGCCAGCCTCCATCGGGCTTAGCATGAAAGAAAATGAAAATCTCCGCGATCTGCTCGGGGAGCCTGGTCTCCATCTCGATGAGATGCAGCAGCAAGCACAGCGCCGATATTCCCTCATCCGAAAGCCAACCGAAGTGGCGCGGCTTCAGGTTGTCAACGCCCACGGCAGTGCTCTTCTTGAAGGAGCTCGCGGCGTCCAGGATGTCCCGCGGCGTCGGCGGTGGCGGCGCCCCCATCCAGCATCTCCTCTGGCAGTAGCTCCTCGACGTCGAATCTCTCGTGGCCATGCTGCCGCACCTGCTGGCGCTCCGCGGTGAGCGCCCGAAGCGCGCCTGCGATGCCAGCTGGCTGCCCATCCTCAGCCGCGTCCGCAGGCCAGCCCATGGGGGCTCGGCAGAATCCGTAGGCTGCTCGTCCTCCATCTCGTATTGCAGCTTGGGCCCACCCGCGCCAAGCCTTGGTGCGGGCCTTGCTCTTTTTCCTCCTCCTCCTCCTCTTCCTCCTCCTCCTCCTCCTCCTCCTCCTCCTCCTCCTCCCGGGGGCTCCTGGGAAGGCATGTTTGAAGAAAGAAGGGCTTCCGAGAGGCAAGGTGTCTTGCTGGAAGGCCGCCCCCTCGTTTCGCAGTCCCCTTGCGCGTCGCCGACATCCGCTCCCCGTTGCCGCCCCCGCCCACGGACGGAGACGCACTGGGCCGTCCTGGGTCCCGCGACCTGCGCCGCTCCCCTGGGGGCCGAGCCTGGGCAGCAACGGGAAGCCGGATCAGGCATGGCCCCCCGCCCACCCCCCCATCACCCCCCCCCCGTTCCTCTTCAACCCCCTCTCCAGTTATGAAGTCCCCTGCCCTCCACTCCCGCATCCCCCTCTTCAACTACTGCCCCCGCCCCTGCGGTTCCGCCCCCTCCTTCCCCCCTGAACCTCACCTGGAGGAGGGGGAACGAAGCTGATTATGATGATGATACTGTTCATGATGATGATGATGATGATGATGATGATGATGATGATGATGATGATGATGATGATGATGATGACGATGACGATGACGATGACGATGATGATGATGATGATGATGATGATGATGATGATGATGATGATGATGACGATTATGATGATGGCGATGATGAAGACAGAACAGGACAGGACAAAACGCCGACAATCGCCCCGGAAGACGGCCCCAAAAATAACGCGGCGGCGGCGCCGGAGCGCGGAAGCACGTTGGCTCCACGATGCCCGAAAGCAAATGCACACATTACATAGCGTCGACGCTCCGAACGAGGCCGGTTGCGACAAAATGCGGCTATTAGTCAGAGGTTGCTGCAGTCCGCCAAAAGCGCTGCCGGACGATGATATGATGGATACATATTTCAACCGACACTCTTTGAGAGGCCAGTGCGATGAGTGCGATAATGAGCGTTCGACGGTATAATAACGCGTGCCGTTCTGTCATCCGGATGGTTTCAGAACGTGTGCCCAATAATCTTGAAATCAATATTTGCGTTTGGCGTTGCGTACGTGCCACAGGCAGAAATACAATTGGAATTCGCATGTCCCTGTGAGCCCGATACCCTCGCGGCCATTTTTCCAAATTTCGAAAACTTGTGGGACCGTAGAAAAATTATGTCCACGGTCACTTCGGAGATGAATGAGCTCTTGTCTAACAGGCTCTACAAAGATACCAACTTTGAGGAGCTTCTTACACCCGAGCATGATAAGGAAGCCCGTTTCGCCGATTTGTTTTCCTTTGTCCCACGCAGATCGAACCTCAGCAACACTACTGTCGCGCTGTTCACGTAAAGCGATTCTTTGCTGTACTATTGATTCCCCTTCTCACTGTGCATTATCGAATTGTTCTTCACAGGTATCGCCGGAAAGAACAATTGCAGAAACAACGCGACTTGTGGTGGTAACCTAAAAATCCAAACACGCTATTGCTATCATACTCGTCGGACGCTTGGCAATCGACTCCGCAGGAATCCACATGTTTATGTGTGTATCCTCCAGAACGTGTCGTCTCATCTCTTTCGACAGCAAGTATATCTTGAATTCTACGATCGCACACATTCTCCAGTTTCAGCCAATCCACTACTAAGAATATCTGTTCTAGTTTTTTTTCAAATTGCTTTGAAGATGCATCCAACACTTCTGCTCCAGGCGCGTGTTTCGATTATTTAATCAAGTGATTCTCTTTCGTGCAACCGCTATTCTCCAGTACGCCAATTCTGAACTGAGCTGGGCTAAGTGCAACATGATATCACTGAGTTTGTTGCGGATCTCTTGATTTGCATCTTCCCAGTCTGCGCGGTCCACTTTGGGAACGTGTTTGTGTGGCATTTGCAAGCTAAGCCCAAAGTGCAACGAGAAATCCCCCACCAAACTGCAATCCACCCCGATATCTGTCTGACCAAGGCGTTCACACCACTATTAATTGATTGGTACAAGATCACCAACGTTGCAAAACGCGTTCCACTCAATAGGCGAGCCACTCTTAAGCAAATCGCGAAGGCAATAATGTGACGTGCCCGTGCGGGCGATTTTGCCAAAAACCTTGCTTGAGCCAAAGACCTTGCTTGAACCAAAAGGAAGATAACGACGAGCTAACAGCAATGGGATGTGGGAGGATGACGACGACGACGACAGGGGATGGGATGCGGATTTTGGGCAGCAGGAGCAGAACGATGACGACGAGCATAAACGAGTAGGACGCCCACCTTGAATGGTGGGCGGGATGGTAACAATGATTCTGATTATAGTGATGGTGATGCTGGTGATGCTGATGATTATGATGGCGATGATGGTGTTGCTGATCATGGTGATGATGGTGATGGTTGTGGTGATGGTGATGGTGACGGTGATGGTGGTGATGGTGATGGCGATGGTGGTGATGATGATCGTGGTGATGATGATGCTGCTGGTGGTGGAGATGATGATGATGCTGCTGCTGCTGGTGGTGGTGATGCCGACGAGCATGGTGATACTGATAATACTGATTATGATGATGCTGCTGCTGTTGGTGATGATGATGCAGCTGATGCCGATGCGAAAGCTGACGCTGGTGCTGCTGCTAATGTTGAGGATGATGCTGATGATGATGATGCTGATGTTGATGCTGATGCCCATGCTGATGATGCTGCTGATGATGACGATGATGATGATGACGATGATGATGATGATGATGATGATGATGATGATGATGAGAGCGAAGCAGGATGATAACGACGAGCAAACAGCAATGGGATGTGGGAGGATGACGACGACGACAGGGGATGGGATGCGGATTTTGGGCAGCAGGAGCAGGATGACGACGACGAGCATTAACGAGCAGGATGCGCTCCTTGAATGGTGGGCGGGGTGGTAACAATGATTATGATTATGGTGAAGGTGATGCTGGTAATGCTGATGAATCTGATGGTGATGATGATGTTGCTGTTCATGGTGATGACTGTGGTGATGGTGATGGTGATGGTGACGGTGATGCTGGGGTGGTGGTGATGATGCTGGTGATGATGATGCTGCTGGTGGTGGAGATGATGATGCTGATGGTGATGATGATGCCGACGAGTATGATGATGATACTGATGATACTGATTATGATGATATTGCTGCTGCTGGTGATGATGACGATGATGCAGCTGATGCTGATGCGGATGCTGATGCTGCTGATGATGTTGTTGTTGATGATGATGACGATGATGATGATGATGATGATGATGATGATGATGATGATGATGATGATGACGATGACGATGACGATGATGAGGATGACGATGACGATGATGATGATGACGATGATTATGATGATTGTGATGATTCGGATGATGATGATGATGATGATGATGATGATGATGATGATGATGATGATGATGATGATGCCGATGATGATGGTAATGAAGATGCCTGGTGATGATGATGATGATGATGATGATGATGATGATGATGATGATGCCACTGATGATGATGAGGAGGAGGATGAGGAGGAGTAGGAGGAAGAAGAGAAGGAGGTCCGAACACGAGCACGAGTACGAGGACGACTCCCAACAGCCTCCGGACCTCAGGCCCCCCCGAGGCCTACAAAGGGCCAGGTGCGCCCAAGAGCCTCGACCCTGGATCCTCGATCGCCCTCGCTCCCGACCCTCGATCCTCCTCGATCCCAGACCCTCCTCGATGCTCGACCCTCGACCTCGACGCGCCTCGCGCTCGACGCGCGCGCGCGGGCCCGTCGGCCGCCGCCCGCGCCGCCCCGCGGCGGTGCACGGGCCGCAGGCCGCCGCCGCGCGGCCGCGCCGTCGGGGGCCTGCACCGCGCGCGCGGCCGCGAGGCGCGGGCCCTCGATGCTCGACGCTCGGCCCTCGCCCAGCCCTCGATGCTCGACACTCGGCCCTCGCCCAGCCCTCGATGCGCGAGGCCCGCCGACAGCCCAGCCCTCGATGCCCGACGCTCGCTCCTCGCCGCGCGGCCCTCGCCGCGCGGCCCTCCGTGCTCGGCCCTCCGTGACCGCCGCTCGGCCCTCGCCGCGCTCGGCCCTCGACGCTCGGCCCTCCGTGCTCGATGAGCTCCGCCCTCGCTGCTCGATGAGCTCTGCCCTGCGCTGCCCGATGAGCTCCGCCCTGCGGCGCTCGATGAGCTCCGCCCTCGCTCCTCCATCCTCTGAGCTCGGCCTGCGGTGCTCCCACCGTCGAGCCCCAGGGCGCGGCCGCGGTCCTTGGACGGCAGGAGCTTCCCGATGGCCTCCCGCAGCGCCGTGGCCTCCACGGCAGGACCCGCCGCCGCCGCGCCGCCCGAGGCCATGGCGCGGTGCCCCTGCACCGGAGCGCCGCGCGGGGGCGGGGGGCAGGTGAACCGGCGCGAACCTCCCCTCCCTCCTCCTCCTCCTCCTCCTCCCTCCTGCTTCTCCTCCTCCTCCTCCTCCTCTCCGCCTCCTCCTCCTCCTCCTCCTCCTCCTCCTCCTCCTCCTCCTCCGCCTCCTCCTCCTCCTCCTCCGCCTCCTCCCGGCACCTGTGCCACTGGGTCCCCTTCCCAGGTGAACAGGCGGGTAGCAGCCCGATCGTCACCACGCCCGTGCCTGTCCGAGGGTCGTGGGCGACCACGATGTTCGGCAGGGGCGGGCGGAGGACGCCCGAAATGGGTACGGAAAGAATGGGTGCAATTCCCAACAACAAATCTTGTCCCAAACCAACAGCGGCCGCTGTTGGGCCAGCGGCCTCCTGCCTCAACTGGGCACAGGCCGCGGCGGCGCGGACAGCGAGTCCTGTCCAAAACGAACAGGAACTGCTGCTGGGCATCGTACCCATTCTTTCCGTGCCCCTTTCGTTCGTGCCCCATCCTTCCCACGGCCTGGGCCCCCCGCCCAGGCGTGCGCGTGGGGGCAGGCTGGTCTCCGCGGGAGTGGCGCCCCACGGCGGCTCCTCGGGGCGGCACGCCCGGGTGCGCGCCGTCACCCGAGGGCCCATGGGCGGCAGCGCAGCGCAGGCACGCAGGCCCGGAGGTTCCCGTGCTGCCCCCAGGTGCCCGCCGCCTGGCATGTGTCAGGACGCGCGGCGCGCCAAAGTGCGTGCCGCTCAAGTTCGAGAGCGTGCGGGGAGGAACACGCCGTCGGGCCACAGAGGCAAGGGCACGAGGGCACCCCAGATGAAGGCGCGCGTCCTTCCTACAGTAGGAGCTCGACCACAAGAAACCTTCCACAAGAAACCGAACCCTGAGACCCCAGGATGTCCATTGATTTTTGGTGCGGGGACGTCACGGCTACCATGGTAGAACCATCGAATTCCACGAAAACCAGTGCACCCTGGAGGCAAACAGGGTGTTTCTTGGCATGGGCTTCCACTGTGGAATCGGGAGGAGGAGCGGGACAGAAGAAGGGAAGGCAACAGGAGCAGGGGGACGTGTATGAGGGAGGAAGGAGCGGAGGGAGGAGGGAGGAGGGAGGCGCCAGGAGAAGGGCGGAACGAGGACAGAGGACGGCGGAGGGACGAGGGACGGACGGGGTGATGGGCCTCCTACTTCGGCGCGGGCTTCCCATGTGGGCATGGGCTTCAGGTGTGCGCGTGTCGTCTGTACCCTGCCGCCTGAGGCCCCCCTCCCCACAAGTCCCCACGGCTATTTTGGGCCCTGCGGCGGGAGGCGCCCCCGTCTGTGATCGACAGGCGCCTGGGGGGCCCCGGCCACTCGGGCGAGGCCCCGCTCTGCAGAGGATCCGCCCTGCATCCTTCGAGCGAGAGCGGCGCGAGCGGGTAGGGTGTTCAAGTTCAAGGTTTCCTCCTCCTCCTCCTCCTCCTCCCTCCCTCCTCCCTTCTCCCTTCTCCATCTGTCCTCCTCATCCTCCCACTCCTCCCCCTCCTCCTCTTCATCTTCCTCGTCTCCCTCCTACTCCTCCTCCTCCTCCTGCTCCTCCTCCTCCTCCACCTCCTCCTCCTCGCGGGTTAGCATGTCCGAATTGAAGGAAGTGTCCAACGATTTACTTATATTGAGCAGGTAGGCGGCGAGCCCAGGGGGGCAGTGAGAAGGGTCGGTCCTTCTCACAAGGCTCGGAAGTCCCCCAGCTTTCTGAGAAGTTGTCTATAAGCCATCCCCGAAGTCACAGAAAACGTCTCAGAGGGCGCGAGAGCTGCTGAGAAGCTTCGCCGCCCTCTGAGAAGGCCTTCTCCTTCTCACTTCCTCCCTTCGCCCGCCGCCAAAAAGCAGCGCGAAGGGGTGGGATGTTCAAGTTCAAGCAAGGGTCCAAAGATGTCCTCGTTTTGAACCGGATCTGCCTTCCACTCGTGCGGAAGTCTCGAGCGAGAGCCGCATTTTGAAGACGTGTTGATCTCCATCCTTGTAGATGCTGGGAATTTTAAAGCGAATATGCGCTGCGCTGAGGCGAGAGCCACAACTTGAAGGCGACCGGCCCTCCATCCTTGTGACTGTTGGAAGTGTTTCGGCTTCAGGGCGATTCCCCAAACAGAGCTTGCACTTAGGGGTTCTTACTGCTGTTCTAAGGAACTGGGCCGTGTCTTCGGTCTGGCGGCTATGTGGCCACTGTCGCCGCCTCGTCGTCTGGGCCGTGTCTTGGATCCGGCGGCTATGTGGCCGCCGTCGCCGCCCCGTCGCGGTCTCGTCGCCGCCCTGGATTGCGCCACGTAGAGTGCACAACACAGGTTGCACCACAGAGATTGCACTACAGAGGGCGCACCACATAGCGTGCAAATCATGGCTTGCACCGCATAGATTGCACTACGTGGATTGCACAACATAGTTTGCACCACATAGACCGCGCAACCTATATTGCGCCACGTAAGTTGCACTACGTAGAGCGCACCGCATAGAGTGCACAACTTAGGAGTGCAGAGCATGGGTTTCACCACATATTTTGCACCACTTAGACTGCACCATGCAACTATATATGTATATACATACACATATTGCACACCATATATATATATATATATATATATTGAACCTCATATATTGCACCAAATGTATTGCACAATACATATAGCGCCCCGTAAGGTGCACAACATATATCGCATCACATAAATTACACCGCATAGACTGCACCGCATATATTGCACAGTATAGATGGTACCACACTGATTGCATCACTTGGATTTCACCGCATAGCTTGCACAACAGACATGGATTCGCATAGATTGCACCACATTAGCTACAATACATAGAGTGCACAGCATAGTGTTCACCACATAGGTTACACAACGTAGATTTCACAACCTAGATCGCACCACATAGATTGCACACCATCGATTGCCAGAAACACACTGCTTGAGGCCCGCGCTGGATAACATCTTGCGACAGCGGGGGATTCCATAGGATTACTTACGCACGGGGAAGAGGGATGAAGGAGGAGGACAGGAGGGGGAGAGGGAGGGAGGAGAGGAGGAGGGAGGGAGAGGGAGGAGAGGAAGAGGAGGAGGAGGAGGAGGAGGAGGAGGAGGAGGTTGAGGAGGATGAGGAGGGGGAGGAGGGGGGTGGGGGCAGAGGGCACGGAGCAGAGGCAGAAGGTTCCTGCCTCTGCCCCCCCCCTTCTCCTTCTCTTCCTTCTACTCCTCCTTTTTCTCCTCCTCTTTCTCCTCCTCCTTTTTTCTCCTTCCCCCACCCCGGCACCTCCTCTACATCCTACTCATATGTGTTGCACTCCCCACCCTCTGTTTCCTCATCTTGTTCCTGATCATGGCACTATTCTTTCTGCTCCTTCCGTTTCACCTCCGCGTCCTCATCCTCCTCCTGCGCCCCCCGTTGCTGTTGATGCTGGTTCTCACCCTATCCCTGCCCAGACTGTTCCTCCTCCTCTTTCTCATGCCCTCGTCCTGCTCCGCATCCTCTTCCGCCTGCTCCTGCTCATCCTCTCCCAGCTCGCCCTCGTCCTGCTGCTCCCCATCTGCTTCGTCACACCCTCTCCTCATATCATCCGTTCATCATCCTGCTGGCACTCTTTCTGCTCGCCTCGCCTTTTCCTCTTCCTCCTCCTCCCTTTGATCCTCCGCCGCTCCGCCGCTCCCTCTCACCTTCACCGCCCTCGCCCGGGTCCACTTGCCCCCGCGCACGGGCGGGATGGGTGGCTGCAAAGTTGCCTGGCCACGACCCAGCGGGGACAGGCTATGGAAGGCAGCGGTCGTCGTCGTCGTCGTCCGCGTTGTCTTCGTCGCCGCCTGGCGGACAAGGGGAAGGGGCAGCAGCAGCACAAAATGGAACAACTCGCTCGCCACGATCTCGGATGATCACCTGCACGAAACACTGCAAATCCGCGTGCGTATGTTCTCAAGTGCGTCCTCGTGCGAATGAGCGCACCATCTCTGTGAACTATGATGTTCTACCCCTGCGTCTACGCACGCGTCACGCATCAAGATACATTTGCTGATTGATCCAACGCGGACACCTTTAATAATGCATGCTAGAGCGCACGCGCATGCATGGCAACAATCATGCAGCATACACCACAATTTTGTTCACGACATCCGGTCAATGCGCACTTGTACACATGCATGAAAACAACACGGACACGGCACCGAATGGTTTTCAACTGCCCCAACTGTCAAATATCACCATGAACGCAGAAAACAATAACATGAGGCACATGCATTGACCCAATCTTCGCACTGCGCAAAACTCACTCGCCTGCACGCTCACGCACGGCCACCCTAGGGAAGGACGGCTATCCAGCTCAAATCACAAAGCGCGATGACATCCCATGCCTATTTGCACACATACATGCACACATACCCACATACACACATACCTACAAACACACATGCATGCATGCATATATTCATGCATACATCTGCATGCATATAGATGCATCCATGCATACATAGCTGTATATAAACATACCTACACAGCATACCTACGTCTACACATACATGCATGCATACGTGCATGCATGCATGGGCGCATCCACACACACATGCACACATCCATACATTCATGCATCCATACATGCATACATGCATACATACATATGCCTACATTCATACTTACTTACATACATACATACACCGGCATGCAAACACATATGCATACATACATACATGCATACGTACATACATACATACAACCACACACACACACACTCATATATACATACATACCTACATACATGCTTACATGCATGCATGCATGCATCCATACATACATTCCTACATACATGCACGCACTCACACATACATACATACATACCTACATACATACATACAAACGTACATACCCATACCCATACCCATACACATACACATACACACATGAACATACACATACATATGCATGTACATATACATATACCTATACCTATACAAATCATATAAGCATACACA